AAGATGGCTGGTGCATAAAGCCTCAACCTCGACCAAGTAATTTCATACACATTTAATTTATGCAAATTACATATATATGTTCGCGTTTGGCACCATGTGAAAGCAAAGTAGCGTGTTCGTCGCTGAAAGATTATGCCCTCTGGGCTTGATGACGTTTACCACTAAAGTCTTTCAGCACATAGAAGTAAACAACATGCATTCAATGGGAACCGGAGGCGACCCCGGATGGAAAGACAAATAAGTAGAAGAGTGGACATACAATCGTCCCTTGTAAAGTAAGTATCATATTTTTACCCCCAGACATATCATGGCCTCCGGTAGGCGCCAGCATCGGCAGGCGCGTCGCGACCATTACGTGGAGGAGGGGCATTATACTCCCGAGATCTGGCAGGACCAGCATAGCCGTTGCCAGAGAAGCCGCCGCCGGGTCCACTGCCACCGGCATAGCCTGGCTCGTACGCAGCACCCGACGACCGAGGAGGAGGACTCTCCGAGCGGCGTCTGCAACAGACGTTAGACGTAGCTTTGGAGAGTTCGGTGAGTCCCATACCTGTATCTCGGAGCCACCGCATCCGGGGCGGCGCCGCGCGGGTAGTCGTTCGCGTAACGCGACGGTGGGGGCGAAGCAGGGCGGCCACGGTAATCCGCATAATCACTAATCAGAAGTTGCATGAGATCCTGGCTGAAAACCGGAGACGTTCAAAGACATACCGAGGTGGCGGGGCTCTGTCGTAGTCGTCGCGAGCCCGAGGAGGAGTTCGTGCTCTACCACCGGCAGGGGGAGGAGGAGGATAAGGAGGATATCGCTCATGAGGTCTTCTATCATAGCGATCGTACTGAGGGACAGGAGGCGCGGGAGGCCCGCCATAGCCACGGTAGGCGGGGTCCGGCGGGGGAGGATACCTTCCGCCTCTGTAGTCCGCAGGAGGCACAGGAGGCGGATAGCGATCGCGCTCAGGAACGGGAGGACCGCGTCTGTAATCGTCGTAGTCCCGGCCTCTGTTCACGGGCGGCGCAGCAGGATAGTCGCGATAATCACGCGGGGGTGTAGGGGCTCTGCGGTAGTCCCGAGCAGGAGGCGGATAGTCATACCGGGAGTCACGAGGCGGCAGTACATCGCGAGGAGGTAGCGGGGCAAAGTCACGACCACGGTCCAATGGAGGAGCATCATGGAGACGCCGCTGGGGGCTTCTGTTGGATAGAGATTAGGCGAAGAGGCGGGCACGTAGATCAGACACATACTGGGCTGCATTGGGACATTCTCTGTTTTCGGCGATAAGTAGGAGACTCGGTGCAATGCAGATGAACCCACCGCGCCCAATGTCCCATATTGCCGCACTTGAAGCAAGCTCCTGGATCCCCCGTGTACTTGGCCGTCCTGCCTCCTCCATGGGAAAGCTCCACGCGGATTTTGTTGCCCATGAAATGACCCTCGTGGTATTTGGCGACACTCTCTTCCGCAGCCAGGCGGCTGTCGAATTCCTGTGGAACAGGTTCAGAAATGCACACTGAAGAAAGGAACGACATACCACGAAGCCATATCCGATTCTGCAAGGGATTCGTTCAGACAATGTGCATTCAATCGGCAGGCAAACATACTTTAGTTCGATGTTGGTGATGTTGCCGATCTGGCCAAAGCAGCTTTGCAAGTCCTCTGGGCGCGTATGTTCGGGGAGACCACCGATGTAGACCTTGTTCGGCTGGACAGCAGAAAGTAAACACCCAGTCTGCGACACATGTGGAAAGACAAGAACAAGGCGTGGTCAAGGGCCCGAGCCAAAAGTACAGCCTCGCAACAGCAAACAAGTAAGGCATTGGGCGTCACAGACAGCGCGAGCAGAGACGTTGCCATATGCCAGGCACTAGTAACTTTTCGCTCTCTCTACACGAGAAGGGGCAAGCAATAGACAAGGAAAGACCGAATAAGCACCTTGACTTGCTTTTCCCGAAAATTGTCGCCCTTGTTCCCAGAGACACTGCCTACGCTAGAGCCGCGAGGATAGTCTACGGGGTCGATTGGGTCCTGGCCGCGATCGTCGACAGGAAGAGGGTCTCCATTGGAGGGTTCAGCACTGCGCCGGGTCCCCATTGTAGCATCATCAGAGGGTCCCCAGTTATCCTGGCCCTCGTCGCCGGCGCTGGGAGAGGCAGCCATTTTTTTCTCGCGATGGTTGTGGTCAAAGTAAACAAACCAAGACAGGGGAGCCGCCGGCAAACGCCGGCCGCAATGGTCCGTGCGTAACAAAGCTAAACTACTACGAATAAAAATCGTGGTTCAAGTCAAGGTCCACACCGCACTTGCAACCATGCACCCAGCCACCAGCACTATGCTGGACAGCGCATGTCCACTGACCAACGACACCGCCCCACCACTTGAACCTGAGCCGCTGGACTCCGAGCTGGACCCCGACTTCGCCGTGGCAGTCACTGCAATGCTGGGGGTAAATACTGCGGACGGGCTTGCTATACACGACGTCGCCGCTGCAACAGCAGTCTCCGAGGGAGCGCCCGCATTCACCACCCCGTTCCCACCGAATGAGCACGCTGACGCCTGGCGCCCGTTGAATTCAAAGTACTGGCTGAATACATATGAGAGCTTGGTGACTATTCACATGGTCAGATCGGAGCCGTGGAGTAAAGTGGCCACTGACTAGGATCGCACATATCGAGCCTTCCATAGACTCCAGTTGTGCCGCTACCGCCGATGTCATCGCAGGTTCCACCGGATGAGCCCAAGAGACTGCACGCCGTGTCAATGAGTGTGCCGACGAGTGCTGAATAGTTTGAGGACGACGTATGGAATCGGCAGCTCAGCGCGCTCTCCAGACAGGCGCAGGCAGCGTCGTTCGGCGTCGGCGGCAGGGTGTTGGAAGCCGCCCACGAAGAGTTTGCAGTAGGGCATGCAGGGAAAGATGAGGCCGCGGCCGAAGACTTCGAAGGACTATTCACAAAGGTGATCTCGCCGTACTGGGTCACCAAGTTGTTGAAGTCGTCATTGGGAGTCACGGTGGTGCCGTCCGAGGAAATGTTAACGATTCCGAACTGACCGGCTGAGCTGGACGCAGGGAAGTACGAGAAAGCCAGACCTCCGCTCCAAATGTCCGACATCGGGGAGGTGAAGAGGGTCCCGGTTTCTGTCCACACCCGGACACCAGGGTTGCAGGTTTCGCTCCCAAACTCTGAGCTGCAGAATGGTCAGAAACGAAAGTCAATCAATTGCTAGTATCCGCACAAGTAGGCAGCGACATTGTACCCCGCAAATTCGCTGTTGACCCCATCGTATGTGCTACTCGGAGCGTCACCGCACCATTCGCTAACGCAAGAGCTGAGCCTCTTCAATTAGGAGTAAGGTTAACCTACTAGTTGTTCAGCCCAAACAAGTCGATCGCCGAGCTTCCGGAGTTAGCCCCCGAAGGATCGCACGAGAGATAATTTGCAAGAGGTTCAAGGAAATCCGCGGGTCCGTCAATGGCAGCGTAGCCCACCAGGGCAGACGACGAGATGGAAGTGCTGGGATGGTACATAAGCACCTAGTGCGCCATACATTTGAAGGCCTTCTCACAGATATGCCTTGACGTCTCGAGCAGCGGCCTTGACGAATGGCGCGGGAGCAGTAGAATTGACGAGCATAACCTCATTCCCTACATTGTAAGCCAAAACGTTGGGATATTTTGCGAATGAGGCGATTGTGGCGAGGTACTATGAAGTATTAATTACTGCTGGTATGGGCAGAAATGGGATGCACCTGGTCTTGAATATTCGTGCTCCATGCGGGGGTGTCGCGGTCGATGGAACCGTTGAGCGCTGCGGGATATTAATTCTTAACCAGCTCAGGAACTTGTGACCCACGTAGCGCTAAATCGATACTGAGGGGTGTCAGGACCATTGAGCACATGGGAAGAGAAACAATACATGGCGTAGATTCCCGCGGCGCTGAACGCATTCATGCATGAGTCGTGGTTGAGCGACGAGTCGACGCTGTAGGCACGGATCGTATTAATTCCTAATTTCTGCAGAAATGGAAGGTCTCGTGCGCAGCCAGCATCGTCTGCGAGAGGGTCAGTGACTGGAAAGCTAATCAGTTTAAATTTGGGAAAATAAACACAAGTGGTACATGTCGAAGGCTCATTGAAGGCGTTATCGCTGCTGGCCACGACGACTCCTAAACGAGAGGATGAGCGGTGCTTTAGTTAGAAAACAGTGGCTTAGTGCCTGCAGGCTGGTATGCCACGCCCTTTATGAAGAACCGATTGCCGTCATCGGTGTACAAGTATCTCCCCGTGCGAGTGACTTTGGAAATTGCGCCAACAGTGGTTGCCAGGAACAGCAAGACAGTCGTTGGCAATAGAGGAATCATCGTGAATTGAAGGGAAAGTTGTGGGTGTGCGCGCAGCACTCCAAAAGTAACTCGAGCTATTAAAAGTAAATCAAGGGCCGAGAATCAGGAAGCACAAGAATCAGGAAGCCAAAGCCGAAAAGGTCCGTATTGTATTGTGGCCCGGCACAATAAAGGCCCAGGTCGCCACTCGACTCTCATGGATGGTAGTGGAAGACAAGCGGACTTGGGAACATCTCCGCATCTCCGCAAGCTAATCGGAGGTAACCCGATCGGGACTGGCCGCACGCCAACCGCACGCTCTCGAAATGCTCTCCAAGGATTCTGGCCTGGCACAAACCTGGCAACTAAGGATCACCTTCTGTTCATTTTAGAACCTTCAAATCTCCCTTCGCTTGGATTACGACTGGCCGTGCCGATTACTGTAAAATTTCCCAGTGAATTCCGGATTTGAAGGCGATTATTGACTTTCCTACGCTCATTCCGGCCAGAAACTCTTACCTTCACTTCTGTCGTTATATTGACACGGATTCCCAATGATCTTCCACCGAAAACACTGTTTCCGCCGTATCTCGGCCGTTTGTGATTCAATTCACGAGTTTTTATATTCATTATGCGCGGAATCCCTCTCCCTCTGATCTCCACACCTCCGCCCTCCTCCATGGCCCGCCTAGCTCAATCGGATAGAGCGTCAGACTCTTATGAGACTGCAATCGGCGGGTATCTGAAGGCTGCGAGTTCGACCCTCGCGGTGGGCTATTCACTTTTGTTTTTCATTTGGAAAACATCACTTTACCATTTTGGTCATGAAGAATTTGATGCGACTCTCTTCTAGTCATTTCGCTTGAGTTGTGACTTTTCATAGCTCGAGCTACGATTTTCGATTGAGCGAGGGAGGAAGCCTGGAAGCCTCGGAGTTGGATACTGGGAACTTTAAAAGCCCTCGTTATTTAGATAAGAGATCGTCTACTCGATGTGAGACTCATGCCTACTGTTTCACGAGATTGAATCCCGGACAATCTAAATCGTGAAAAATCCGCCATGGTATGCAATCTCTGGAAGTTGGATTTTCACTCGTTTAACACTGGGGCAGTATTTAAAAAGAATTGCGCTGACGTTCACTAATATTTATTCAGACCATCATTATGAAAGAGGATCAGTGCCCAGCAAGGTGTTCTCCAGTTTGACATGCTTCGCGGGCAATTGCAGTTCATTTTCTGGTCTCTGAGCCAAGCTGTAACTGGAAAAGTATCGCTGGATCGTGTTAACGAGTTTCTCAACAAGGTCTGCCAGTCAAGTATCCCGAGGAAACTCTCCAAGCTGATCAGTTTCCAAGACCGAGCTCCTCGATTCCTTCACGGAAAAGGACCCTGCCACCGTGGACCTCTTTGTACCCGTCGACGCAACAGCCAAAGAAATCGGGTTCTGCGACGCGACCTTCGCGTGGTCGAGCGAGAAAATCGATGGCACACTCACTCCTTCTAAGCGCAAGTTCATGCTCAAAATCAAGTGCAAGTTGCTCTTCAAGCCCGGGTGTGTCAATCTCGTTGCGTAGAAAAGATACTCATGGTCCTCGCAGGGATTTCCGAGAGGTCCGATAAATCATTTTGGATCCGGGAAACAGTCTGAAGGATCCCTCGCATTTTAAACGCCAGAAGGCAACTCTCAATGGCGTAGACGTTGACAGCTTCTTAGAATTCAGGGAGAGACCCAACGGAGACCGTCGCATAATCGCTGCGTATCACTTTTTCTATTCATTCCGGACCAGCGTCTGTCTAGTGACCACCGAGCTTCGCACGCTCCTCTGCGATCTGCGCCGCGTAAGGGTTCTTTGGGTTATTAGCATACTCCGGGGCTGTCCAGTACCGTCAGTAAACCGGCGGCAGCGTCTGGCGGGGTAACGCACATCGAACGGCCATATCCTGCAGCTTGGAGATACCGTAGAGCGAGATGGAGGCAGCAACCATGAATGGCCAGAGGGGCTTAAGGATCTAGAGGCGAAGAACGGATTAGAGGAAGCCGGGACTGTCATCACGGCGGAGACTCGCTGGTGTCGGCCATTTGCGCCAGCCAAGGAAAGCCATTTTGGTATTATGCTACAGCTGGCGTGAGTTGTAATTCCCTAGAGGGCATACAGAAGGCGGCCGGCGACGTACTGGAACTGCGATGAAGGGTACGGGACGAACCGCGAATGATTGTTTGGCGCGAACAAATATCAGCTCGAATTCCAGCCTTACCTACGACGGCTATTCCCCCTCCCACCCAGCCTTAACCATGGCTCGCAAATATGAATCATGTCCTGATTTTACCATGAATTCATTGCCTGATTGACTCGGACCCTTTGGATGGCGCGCTTGGGCATGCGCTTTGACCTACGCTTTGAGTTCTAATTGTCCATAAAATGGCCCCTGCCCTCTGCGTTTCACCAATCCACCATGTCCATGTCCACCGACCTCGTAAACCTTTCTTCAACCAGGAGCCGTGAATTCATTTTCGAAGATGGGGACATCGTCCTCGAATGTCCTGAGGCCAATGGATCTCGGTTCCTCTACCGCGTCCACAAGTTCATCCTAACACAACATTCCGCTATTTTTGCGGACATGTTCAAGCCAGAAGTTCTCGCTGCGCAGTCTCTAAGGACGCTCGACGGTTTACCGGTGGTCCCTTTGCCCGAACCAGCAGCGGAAATCTATAAACTGCTATCTTGCCTCTACAACGCCCTGTACGTCTGTTTCATATGGTCTCTAACGTATCTTTACCGAATACGCGTAGGAACGGCGGCGCCTTTCATGACCCGCAGCGCCCAATCGCGCGTTACGACTGGCTCTTCAAGATCTGCGACAAATATCAGATCGCTCCGCTCCGCCAGTGTATCATCACGCAGCTTAAAAGCGAGTGGCCTGCCACTCTCGCCGAATGGGACGCGCGCGAGGCGCATATCGCTGCTCTTCGCCAGCAGCATATCCGGGCGGGCCCCAGCGGCCGCGTGCATAACATGTACCTCGACGACCGCCTCACCGAACCCATCATGTGCATCACCCTTGCGCACATGCACTCCCTCCCGGAGCTTCTGCCCGCGGCGTTCTACGACCTCGCGCGGCGCGATCCACGTGCGGACTGGGACGCGTTCCACGACGCCGCGACCCGCAATCTTCCCGCGAACGAGCGGATGCTCGCCCAGGGCGTGCGGAGCGCGCGGTGGAGCACTCTTGCCGCGCCTCATCTGCTTATATTTGCCATGGCGAAGGAACGGCAGCTTCAGTTTGTGCGAGACGTTATGGGGCTCATGTGCAATGTCCCGCTCCCTCACCCACTGTGTACGGTTGCACGCGACAAGTTAGTGGACAGGGCGCAGGAGATAGCCGTGCTGTCTCGCGACCCGCTTCTTGCAGCGCAGTGGGGGTGCAAGCAGGCCAGCATAGCGGACACGGGCATCTGCCCTCCCTGCGCCGCCCACACATCCCATGTCTTCGCATTTTTTCGAGGACAATACTGGCGGGCTCTGCCTAAGATCTTTCTTCCCGCAAAGTCATAGTACATGATTGTTTGATTATCTATCCATGTCGTTTAGTAAATGTCTTATGCGACTTTCCAAGCCCAACATGGCCCTAAATATGATCAGTAGATGAAGGATATCAGAAATTCAAACAAAACATACCTAGAGGGTCCGTGCTCGAATGCTCCGCGCCGGTCCACAGGCCAATTATGCCCGCCGCCGAACCGAGGTCGCCCACCTGCACGCTCTCCGTCACCCACTCCGGATCCGACCCTGCCGCCTCGCTCGATGTCTGCGTGGATTCAGCATCAAATAACAGGATTAATGTGCTACGCACCATACTCCAGCGCACTGCGCCGTCGCCAATCATGCGCACGGTGCCCTCCACGACACGCCCAGCGGCCTCGTCCTGGTCCGTCCCACGCGACTCGCCTGCGACGTGGATGACCGGCAGGCGCCAAATGAGCGCGGTGGGATCCGCGCCGGGCGGCGCCCGCGGCGGGGGTGAGTAGCCCGTGACGCGCAGCGTCATGGGGAAGATTCGGATCGTCTCCTGCAGCTCGTCGAGCCCGAAGCCCGCCGTGTTAATGTCGACCTAGGGACGGGTCAACGGGGTAGCGGGAGGCGGCATTGGCGGCGTGCGTACATTATGCACTGGGGAATAGGGTGAGGATGGGATGTGGGGAAAGACAGCAGGAACGTACTGAGCAGGTCACGGTAGTCGAGCCAGCACACGACTCGCCTGCGGAGATAAGCGAACGCCGGGAAAGTGTGATGGAAACGCACCTCCACTCGCCCTCGACGCCTGCCCAGTCCCAGCCATCGACCTCTGTCGCCTTCGTCTTACCTTTGTCGACGGGCGCGGGAGCCTCATCGTCTTCGTCGTCCCCCTCCAGCTTTTCTGGGCGCCAGACATCCCAAAATCCGGGTGCGCCGCCCATGCGGACGAGGTTGAGTGACTGCATTGCGTCCACCACTTCGTGCAATTCGAGGCCTACATCAACGGCGGCCAGCTGCGACGGGGAGCCGGTAGTGTTGAACAGGACCTCCATCCCGAATTTCTCGCGCATGTTCTCCTCCATTATGAGGCGGGCAGCGGTGAGGAACGCGTAATCGGGGATCACGCGGTGCGGTGCAGGGAATACGTAGGTCGGGTGGGTCCGGTTGTCCGAAAAATCGATGCCGTGGCTGCTGAGGAAGTGGAGGAGGTGCGGGGTGTCGCCGTGAGGATCCTCCGCGTCCGAGTCATCCGGGTCGTAGTCGGCGTCGTCAATGTCGTCGTCCGGATCGAGGAGACTGGGGGTCAGGATGATGGACGAAGGATGGAAGCCGTAGTGACGGGAGCTCGAGGCCGTGCGGATAGCGATGTCCGCGTCCTGGGAGTCCGAGTCGGGCGGCGCGGCACGCGTGAGACGGCTGCGCCAGCTATAAACATGCGGCTGGGTGGGGTCCAGCGGCTGGAAAGGCCCCCAGCAGCGTTCGGGCATGAGGTCTAAAACAAACGGGAAATTAACCGATGCTATGCACCAGAGTCGTTCAACTCACATTTGGTGTTGTAGCACCGCGTTCGAGCTATGGCACGCGCAGTTGCGTACTGATCTGTTGCGCACCGCGTGCGTCAACTTCGTGTGTAGAAGAACAGAGATTCGCACGCACGCTGATGCTCAGCCGATGTTCCGGTCTCCTGTGGGTCCGTCGGGATAAACCCCCTCAGGAAGGTGAGCTTACAGAAAGCCTTGCCTTGAGGGGTGTCCTCAAATTCGGCGCGGCTGAAGGGGGGTCCTTCGGGATCGAAGGAGGCCAGGAGACGCTTTGTGAGTTGGGGGGGATAGCCGAGAGCCAACGCCCGGTCGAGCCACGAAATGTTGTTCGAGGTCGGTACTTCCTGTATTCCAATAAGCGGGGGAAATACGATGGGGCGGCGCAGCATTGGGTCGAGGTCGCGCAAGGGAGGGACGGGTGCCGCGGTTGCAAGAACATCGACTAGAGTCTCAAAGTCGCACGCAGGGTCTGCGGCTGCGAGCCGGTTGGCGACAGCGACGCGGCTGGTGAAATTATGCCAGTCGTACGCGGGCTGTATGGGGCTGGATAGGTCCAGTCTAGAGGCTTCGAGGGCACTCTTGGGGCGGGGATCGTCGAAGACGGTGAGAAATAGGTCCCGCCAAATTGTGTGTACCAGGTCGTGCAGCAGGCGGCAGCAGGCAGAAACTGCGGCGACGATGTTCGCATCACCGCTGGCAACGGCCTCGACGAGGATCTGTT